GTATAATGTGAATTAGGAGATATTTGAAAGGGGAAAATATCGCAGACGAAGTAAAGCAATATGCCAAAGTTTTCTTCTTCGAAGGCTTGAAATTGTCGAAATGACAGAATAAATATAAAATTAAGTCAACATATCCATTTTCGGAAACTAAAAGTCAATTACTTGTCCCTGTTCGATGGATTCGGAGTTTTTGTAGCGTTTGGAAAGCGAGGTTGGAAGAAGGCCAAGTTAAACCACGTTCAGCGGCACTATCGATACCATCCTACCGGGTGGGACGGGCTCGTGAGGCTAGACTATAGGCTATATCTATCAGACGCCACGGCTGAATCTGATCACTGAACGAGTTCAGCTAAAATTAAGTAAACCGGAACGTCGAGTGTATTCAACGCTTTCTCAGAGGAAAGAGGTGATCCCAAGTACGAAGACTAGGGGCTCACCGCTAAATGGGTCTACTTAGCGTTTCAGTTATCTAGGTACGAACTGTTCCATTCTACGAATACCAACTGCAGGGAAAAGCTTTCCCAGCTCCTCCCCCCCCCTTCCCACCACCTCATCGACCTCATTGACGCCTCCCCTACCACCTTATTGACCTCATTGACGCGCTCCTAGCTGCAGTGGACAAGGAAAGGAGGAAGAACGATGCAATACATTCTTATCCAAGATGTGACTTGTGGAGTTGATGCAGTACATATTAGTTCCTGCTGCAGGCTATTTGACAAGAGTCAAACTTCTCATGTTCACTCAGTATAACCAAATGTAATCCCACTCACAGGTTTTCCTCCAGCCACGATGTCGAATAGGGAACTCGTTTTTCCGTCAGTGATAATGGCGGTCACTCTGGGATCGGCTGTAGTTGAACATGGTAATATCAATGGAATGTTTGCTCTTAAAAGAAAACTCACCCAAAAGGTCACTTTCTGTGAATCGGTTTATGAAAACGACGTTAGATTGGTTCTGTGCTGCTTCACTCACATTGCGCCAAATGAATGTGGTATCAGGAATTTCCAGAAACGCTTCTAGAAAATTATGCATGTATTACCTCATCTTGAAGTCTGTATGCCTAATCAGAAGAAATAGCTGACAGCAGAATTATACGAATTCGATAGAACGCTGCTTTACAGTCTTTGAACCATGCAAAACAATCAGCAGGAGTGTAGCAAAGGCCACATTGCGGTACCGCGCCTGTGCCGCCTCAAAGTCACTCAATTCGGGTACCCCCAGGAGGCCCGTCGCGCGGCAAGAAGGCAGAGTCGGCGGACGAGTTGCAGCGCGTGGTGTGCGATGTAGGACGTGCAATGGGACACTCTATTTAACTTGACGCGAAATCCCTATAGTACGCGCGCGACTCGTCCGCTGACTTTGCCTTTTTGCCGCGCGACGGGCCTCCTGGGGCCGTAAGGTATGGGTGGGGGACGAAAATCCCTTTAAATTTTTTGTTTTGAACGATACTGTTTCTTCATTTTCAGTGCATGTTTACTTTAACCTACACACATATATTAAATGTAGGCCCTTTATCAGGACAATCCCAGTTGGGAAGACAGAGAAAATTTAAAGGGATTTTCGTCCCCAACTTTTCGGGAAAGCATACATACCATACGAATTCGAGCTCTGTCCCTCCCGCCCTCGTACAGTCACGTGCTATCCCTCCATGTCTCAGTTCCGACTAGTTCCCCACGCTAAGCGAAGGTCTCGAATCATCTTCCGTCCACGCGGGAGGTTCGAGCAGGGAAAATTTTGCTATGTATCTATCCCTTATTGTTAGTCCATCTTCCTCTTATCATTAGCGCTTTTTTCTTCGCGATCTTTTTCCTTGCGAACCACTACTTGAGGAGGAACGGCTTTGCCAAGCACTACTTTACAGTGGTACAGCCATCACGTCAGCTGGCTATTTGGCAATCCCCTTTGTTTGTTTTTTGTGGCAATTCACTTTCTTTCGACTTTTCAGCCAATTCAGCTGCCACAGAACTTTTTGCCGCCTCCTAAAGAGGATCTATTTTGATATAAAAGTTTCATGAAGCCGAATATCGCAAAAAAAACACATGAGTTAGATGCATCAAAAGCTTTTCTTGCAGTTTCTCATGAATATTGTCAAGTTTTCTGATTGAATTTCAGTGCTGCAAAGCGGCACTCATTTTTGCTTTCTACACTTTCTAATCAGAAGTTTCTGGGGCTTTACGAAAGCAAGTTCTTGAAAAGATTGCAAAAAGCACGAAAACAAACACGTGGGGTTGATTTGTTAAGCCCTGGTTGCAACCATCTAGGTTTTCGGAAGCCAGCTAAATGAAACTAACTAGCTATTGAAAAAGGGGGCTGAGGCGAGAAATGACAAGAGCGTAGAGGCTATGTATGTTACCTCCAGACTTAGTGCCGATGTAAGATATGAGTATAGGGTAAAGCCGGCGATAGACTTCGCGAACGGCGGGCGAATCTCAAGGCACACGTGATGCGCCACCGATTCGAAAATGTGCCAGCGGCTCAAACAATGTGCCAGTGATCATATAGCGTAAGATGTAGCGAACGCCCTTTTCAGCTGCTCATTGGCTCCCGCCTTTTTCCCAGGGTCTCATTCCTTCGCGAGCGGCCGTCAACGAATGACAGAGACTCCCGCCTTTTTTCCACTCTCTCGATTCGCTGGTGCATCATCGAGAGCTAGCACATAGTTCCAACCGCTAGCGCACCGCTCGAGCCGCTGGCGCCCGCCTGTGCCGCACTTCGCTGAAGTCGCTGAAATCGCAGTCCGGTATTAGTCTACGAGTGCTGCACATAGCAGTAGATTTTTTGTATCCGCTCTTCCTATTGTGTTCTTATTGTTTTTCAGAGAAAGCAATACACTCACGTAGAAGGACGGCCGCTTTTTGCATGCATTCTGGAGAATTTCCATTGAACGAGACAAGCACGTTTCGGGCTCTGGTTGACAGCAGTGCATTCCATTGCTGGTAAAGCCAAAATTACCATGCAAACATTTTACACGAATGAACTATGATTCCTGCTTTTAATCTTCTGAGCAGACAAGATCAATCCTTACTTTTATGGAAACTGAGGAGGCGAGGATGAGGGGGAAGGGAGGGTGGGGTCTCCCGTGAAAGGAGCGGCTAGAAAGGCAGGTGGTCTAGTAGGGCACGGTCAGAGCTGTAGGGAACCTAAAGGCGGAAGAGGTGGGGATGACGTCATCATAGAGAAACAACACTGCTCTCTGTCCTGCAAACTGGATTGAGTCCGACAATCAAGGACGTATGTTAGGGTAGCCAATCGGTGGGCGGACAGAGAGAAGGGATATGCTAAATGCCTTGCTATGTCTCTGCAAGCGCCTCCCTCACCGCCAAGCAACATGCACGCTCCTTTCGGGATTTAGACTCATTCATAATGCTCTAACCGAAATACTTAGATAGCCAGCATGCGTACATCCCAGGTCAGTCAGCAGCTGTGAGGCGCGTAGTGAGTTGGATGCCCGCTCCCTTCAGAACGGAAAAAAATCGAGGCGCAGAATCAGTTTAAGACGAGTTTGAGGAATTACTGTAAAGGCGGATTCCACGATGAAAAGGCAGGTCCATGGGAAACCAAGTAAAGATGGTCAGTGATACACGAAAGAAGAGAAAACAGAGAAAAATGGCCAAGAACTCGGGAAGATGGTACCCTTTCCCTGCCCGTTGAATTGCGCATTGGTGCAACTATCATTGGTGCTGCCCTCTTCAGACGCCAACGATCGCTCTGCTGATCGGCTAGACTCATACACGAGACGACGCGAGAGGGCGTACCGCGCCAAAGCGTGCCATTTGCAGCAGAGGAAGTACGATCCTTGTTAAGCCATACCATGCTAGATCGCCGCGGGCATTTCCTTCGATGCAAATTCCGTGTCGGTTCGCACGCTGAGGAGGTCCACTGGTCTCCCAACTCGGTCAAGTGTAGTCGAGTGTGTAAGCAGTGTCCTGCACACGTACCTTATCCCTCTCCAAGGTTGGATTTTGAAATGATTACAAAAGAATCGGGAACATTCAGATCAACCCTGGTTTATGATTCTGTAACAACCCTTTTACACGCTGATGGATAGACCTAGAGGAGCAATGAGTATTTCATTATATTGAAAGGAATTCGGAAATGTCCCTAGGCAGGACAGCAATGCCTTCCTAAATCTCGCAATTCACTGAAACACACGCTTACGTGTTTATCATCATGATGAAAATCTGCACAGCTCCCAAGTGCGAGACAGCATCAAAAGTTGGGAAAAAAATGAAGGAATCAAAAAGCAATACTAACTCGGAGGAAAAAGGATAGTCAAAAATCATAGTGTCAAATGAAGAATACCTGGCCGAGTTTTGATGGTTGTTTCACATTCAATCCACCAACATAGACCCATTGGGATGTAAGTGCCCGAGGAAAATCCAACAGCTCATCACCGTTCACAAGAAGGAATGAAGTCCGAGCGACTGCATCCTGAACACAACAATCTGAAAGATTACGACCCCTGTTAAGCCACACCTAAAAAAGCAAATTTTTAGAGTAAAATAAGACAACGTCACTCCTCCATCTAGTATTCCGGCGGGCTTGGTGCGTTTCCACTTCGTACGCTAATCCTCAAATTGGACTCACCGGAGTTGTGGCACGCTTACATCTAGCAGCAGCTCTAACGTGATCAGGGAAGCCCTTATGAGCAACAGTTCAACTCTTCAATAAGTTTGGAACCACCACAGATGGAAAATTCGGGGACTCGAAAGTTACAGTTACCACCAGGATAATTATCAGATGCAGAAACTAGCCCCCTTGTCCGACTTTCGTACCCTCAAACTGAAAAAAATTGATGTAAAGACCCAGCCAAACTCTCTGTAAGACTCACCTCTGCCATGGGTGGAAAGCCACACATGTAATTCTACTTGATACTTTTACAGGACAGAGCACAATCGTTAAGTAAAAATTCTTCGAAAACCGATTTTTCGTGTTCATTGTCTTCGAAGTGTTGTTACCTGAAAACTGTCTTCCTAATATCTCTAGATTTCTATAGTACAGCCTGAGGCGAGCGCAAGTGGAACCAAATAAAGTTGACCCTCTAAAGAAAGTAAAGCAGAAGGCCTGGAAACATTTTGACACGCCTCAGTTGCGTGCCACCGCACGCGCCATCCCCTTCATCTGAAGGCTCGTGTAAACGCGGCAGGTGGCAGATCTCAATTCTATTCTGGAATTACTTTGAGATAAGAGTTACAAACACTTTCCTGAAGTTTGTCTGGCTCATCGAGCTAGCTGTACTTCGCTCCTACCCTCTCTTCATGCCTGCTTCACATTCATGTTGCTATCACTCCATTTTTAGCGCAAAGCCTTCACTCTGTTCAGAAATCCCAGACTTTGTCGCTGAGACGAACGTGCCCCTTTCGAAAATTTTAAACTGTGGTTCACGTTGTGTCCAGTTCTGTGGGACGACAGACTTTTGGCTCGC